ATGGCTATCGCAGATAGCCCTCGTGTAGCTTTGCGCGAAATTCAAAACAAACAAACCTTCAGGAAGGATGTTGGAATAAAAATATTCAAAACATATGTAACTATAAATTTCTAAAATAATTAACTTTGGCCTCTGTATTATATAAGGAAAGTGCGATATACATTTGTTTTTCAGGAAGACTACACAATAACAAAAAATATTCGTACCAAATTATTTTTAAGTTTGCAAAATTTTAAAGTGATAGTTGAAAAATAGTTAAACAATGAACTCACAAGGAACATGGTCGGTAGGAGGCAGCATCTCTGTGGTGCCCAATATTAAAAAGGGAAGCAGGAAAAAGAGGCAGAGTTTAAAAATCAAAATACTGGTCTTCTCAAGTCTTTCAACGCGACACGTTACAAATAGGAATGAGTAGAATGGTTGATCCCTCCACATACCGGCTCTTTTCTTTTTTTGGTATATTGATGAATATGGTATGTTTGTATGTGTGTGGCTTGTGGTTATGTTTTATTCTGTACATAAACCACATTTCTATTTATTCAGTATTTAACACCAAAATCAACAAAGTTCTTACCATTCTCAAGGGAAGTGACTTGGAAAGTTTGAATAAAATCTGCTGTTTAGAACTTCAGTTATCTTGTGAAAAGTAGATGTGTACAGATGTATGGACAGTGTCGTCACTATATTCTCTCGAACCCTTTCGGCCAGGAGCATAAAAAAGTGAAGAAGCTACTGTTAAAACTAGGCTAAAGATCAACATTAAACTTTCTGCTACGCTCGCTCAAAAATTGAAGAAACCACAGCTTACCACGATAAGGAAAATTCTAAATAGGAAATGCGGACAAAGTAAGTGTACTTGATTTTGATGATTTAGTTAAATGGCTACAAATTAGTCAAAGGTGCAAGAATTGTTAGTTCAGTATACCGCTGCATCCGAACATCTGACTTTCCCAAAGACAACAAGGGAAAGACGTTCACAACTTATTACACCGACGACAATAGAGTAGGTTCAATATCAGTCGCATGTTATTCACTTTTTTGTTTTTGCTCTAAGATTTTCGGCACAACTAACTTTTCACTTCTGTCGAACAAAACAAAGATCTGGGAAACAAAGAAAAAAGGCCAGCACTTTCAAGTCCATATGAAGAGTCAGCAGATTAACTAGTCATTTCAACAGTTAAACTAATTTGAATCTCGAGTGGAAATGAACCAGACAATCAATACAGAAACTCTGCGCCTTGTTTAAACAAGAAGCACAGCATTGGCAAGCTGTACTTGAGATACTTTTTTTGTGGGATTAGAAATTATTGCTCTCTTCGTGGTCATAAAAAATGCTCTTCACATCCGGAAAAGGAACAACATAGACCTCCAAATCTAGTTTTCAGATGACAAAGTATCAGTGCAACAGTTCAGTGACGAATTGCAGAACAACTCACGAAGAACGGATAACATTCCTCAGAAAGGTGTGTTGTCGCACCGAGAATTATGCTGACGTAGTTACAAGAGGGGGAAGGAAGTTTGTAGAAACTCCAACTGATCAAACCTATCTGAGATCATACAAGAGTGGTTGAACTATAAGCAAACGTTGTACAATTTCGTTTCAATTAAAACATAAACAAGAGAGAATCCTCAATAGCCGCGGCTGTAATTATATATATATCAAATAGGCCAAGAACTGGAGCTATGTACCAGAAGTTTGTGCTTGAAACAAAAACTCGGAGCTGTTCCATGAGCCGCTGTGCCGCCCCTAAAAAAAATCTATTACCATAACTTATTGAACTGGCGCGTAGTCACGTGATAATTGTTACGTAACATTTCCGCATGCTTTAATGAATAGATAAATGTGATTGTAATTGTAATACTACGGATTTGTTGCAAATATAAAATTGTGGCTGAATGCTTGTGCCGAATTCCTGTAAATGAAGCAAAGATGTTTTCGGTTATGTGTTTAGAAACTATATAACAGAAGTATTTTGAAATACGATATATATATTTACTCAATCCACAGTAATCGTATTGTAAAATTGGGTTTATAGGTGTGATTTATGTTTAATTAAGCTATAGATTTAGTTATTTCAACCACAGTATTTAGAAATATGAGATCTGTACTTCAGATAGCACAATTTTTGGTAGATAGTTCCGGGCTGCTGAATGTAATGTTCGGAGATTAAGGCGTGATGCCGATGAACACGATCTACAGTTTTAGTTGTAGACGTGTTATAAAACTGACAGTCAATCCAATTATTCAGTTCAAAGAGCCAGATAAAGCTCTTTTGGCACTAGGTACTGCTGGCTGGTTGCCTTCCCTCCTCTCAGTAGCTCAGAGGTCTCTGACCCGGCGATATACCCCACGTGCGCTCAAGGTATTACTCAGCTCGCAAATTCCAGTTACGGTACATTCCCATAAGTGCTTCAACTTGAAAGTTCCACCTTTTTTGATAATCTTTTCCACTGCAGTAAGTGTTCTTAACATGCAAATTTCCTTCTCTTTCTTATTCTTAGCTCTCTGTAAGTGTTCCAACTCGGAAGTTTCTGACATTTTTATTGTTGTTTGACTGGATATAAAAAAAAAAAAAGATTTTTCTGAGCAACTATATAAAAAAAAAAGTAATAAAATGAAAATTAATATGACTTTCACTTTTTTTTCTCAAAAGTGTCCCACAACGGAACTGGAAACTTAAGAAACTAAAAATGATGGAAATACTGAATCAAATTAAGAGAATTATTTTAAGACAAACTTAGATAGTTTTATAATTTTCCCGAAGTTTAATTAATTATCGACGCTGCGAGTATAAAATCAGGAGATATCAGTGACTCCGGTCTGCAAAGGGATTTACAACGCTAGAATCCGGGTTTCGATACCCGTGGTGGGCAGGGCACAGATAACCCATTGTGTAGCTTTGTGCTTAATTACAAACAAAACCTAAATACATACGGGATTCTGGTATTGCAACCGCTATTATATAGGGATTTAAATCGTTTCAGTAAAATATTGCAACTAAAAACAGCTGAAGCGCTTGGAAACGTAGATTTTTTGTAAACCGAATTATCGCAAATTTGAAATTCAGATACTATGAATAACAACGCTTTTTTGTTTTGTTTTATAACTGTCTAGTCACTGCTTGTTTGAGTTGAAACATCAGACCACGTATCCAAACTACGATAAATATCTTCAAACCCTAACCCTAATTATTGGACCAATACGTTTTGTTTACACAAGGAAGTGTGTGTGTGTGTATGTAAATTCATTGTATATTTACACGGCACTGTTTAGTTCCTCTCCATTTTGGTTATAGATCAAAAACCTATTGTTATTTGTTTCCTATTTCTGTGATGTAAAGCTTAGTATTTTATTGAAAGTAATTAATACGAGAATCTATTGTTAGATAAGACTTTGTTTAGTCTCTGCATCCTACTTTTGTTTGAGCTATTAACTTCACCGATTGCTTATTTTTTCAGGACTCAACTAAAGTTGGAGACTTTAGACGATGCTGTCGTCCTTAACGAGGGTTCGAATGATCATCTAAGCGACAAGCATGGTTGCCCGGCCTACGTAAGTCCAGAAATTCTAACTACTAGTGGGAGTTACTCGGGTAGGGCTGCTGACTGCTGGAGCCTGGGTGTAATATTGTACACCCTGCTTGTCGGCCGATATCCCTTTCACGATACCGATCACAACGCACTCTTTGGGAAGATTTGTCGAGGCAAGTTTAGTATCCCCGACACCATGTCATCTCGAGCTAAATGTCTTATCCGTAGTCTGCTGAGAAAAGACCCGACAGAACGACTTGCAATCGATGACGTTCTACAGCATCCGTGGTTCTCATTAGTGTCGCGAGAAGGGGCTAGCTGTCTAGATTCTCAACTTCACACACACAACGGTGATGATTCCAAGGCACTGGATCAAACCGTTCCCGACTTAGCTGTTCCAGAAGGAAGTATTTCATCATTTATATAATGCTGTTTTTATAACATTAGCATTACTGCTTTTAACCTTCTTTAGACACCGTTTTTTCGCGTTCTCCACTTCCTTTATTATGGCCCACTTCTAATCTTACACCACCCTGATAAGGTTTTTAATCTTACTTGTAGATGATCATTTTGTAAGTTTCCAAGTGTAACAAATTTTATTCTTAATTCCTATAGTTCGAACTGGTTCTTATCATTATAAATATTGAAACTTTCGTCCTCTTTTCAAACACAAAAAAAAAGGATGAAAAAGCTCTGGTAAATCCCACAATATTGCATTTTCTAAAAATAGCGTCATAAAATCTCAGAAATAACGAAAAGCTTAATTCATTATCAGAAATGAGTATATAGTAATTTTATCACAAATATTTGCAAATATATCTTCATTATATTAAATTGAATGACATTTTCTGTATAACTAGATCTTAATCACGTCCGCCTTTGAATGAATTTACTTGGTACACCCTCAAACAATATTCACTGATTTGATTCTTAAAGTATCCACAATACGATCGGGATTGTATGAAAAGAACGGAATTGTGTATTTTCTCTCTTTCCTCCCAGCTATACTGAGCTATTTTATGGTCTTGTACTGTTTTCAGCGAAGGACGTTATTACGTGTATTTGGACATGGATATGTACAGAACGAAATATAAATGGTGAAGTACAGCATAAAATAAAAATCCACCGGTTTTATTGATCTCTGATAATTAATTTGGTGTGTTAATTTAAAATTGATCAGTAATGATATTGTTTAGTAGGTCGTTACTAACAGATATTTCTTCAAATAGAAGTCAGTACTAACCAGTAAGAACAATTTAATTTTTTTTCCCAATAATTCAATTGGTAACTTGTTTTTGGTAACTTCACTGCCAATTCCTTTTTATAGTACATTTAAAGTATCAAACAGAAAACACATACGCCTATTAAAAGTTAATTTTCTCCATACTGGTAGTTTTTGTTGTTGTTTTTTTTGCTGCCCCTGACGTAACGTGCAAGTTACTAATTCATAATTGTGTTTGGGTTTCAGTTCTATCTACAGTGCTTTTAATAGCTACCCAATCGTAAAATGTCTATTGTATTTCTCGTTGTTTACGTTAGGGTGTGTTTTTGTTTGCAACGCATGTAAAGAAAACCTAGGTGTTCCATGTTATTGTAACGTCACTGACGTTCAGAAAAAATTACCAGTATTTCTTTAATTTATAAATACTATCAATTTATCAGTCACATCAATCACCCTAAGATAACAGAAACATTATGGTGGGTTTAAAAGCTTAATTTTGTTTTTAAAACTGATTTTTTTTCTGCTTCAATCAATGAATTTCCTATTAGGACTAGCCAAGTAGGCGGGAAAATATACACAAGTACAAGCAGTGATGTGGAAAAGAAAAATAACGAAAACTTAATACGAAGGCATCGAAACCGAGAGAATTCTGTCAGTTGCTATAAAGTACATGACAGTAATATCTTATCACGATTATAATTAAACACCTTGTATATGTAGTTCATAATAAAGGTTGACACTAAACGACGTCGAGTTATATGAGAGGGATAGTTGTTCATGTACATGTTGTAATTTATTTATGGTGTTTTAGGGTTAAACATAGAAGTAAATGTTACGTAGTTTATAGGGTAACCCCCTGTTGTGAAAATCGAAGCTGTTTTCGTTTAATTTTATTGTTAAAATATTTAATATAGCTTATATTCGTAAAGATAATTTAAATAGTCCTAAACTTTTTTGCCTGTTATAAATTTTTTTTTATGTCAAGTTCGTTTTTGTCACTTAACAATAAAAAGTTAGTGTATCCCTGCTCTTTTGAAAATATGTATGTGTATGATATGCAGTGTGGGAAAGTGATGAAAATCTAGGAGAGAAAGCAGATTCTTTTGGACACGTGAAGTTTATGTACAACATCGGCAAATAAAATAAAACTACATAGTGTACAGATGATGTTGTTTTTTATTTCTCGGTTTTTGAACAAGATATGGCCAAGTATTTCTTATCGTGGTATTAATATCACCTATCTCAGATATTTATATCGGCTGCAAAGTGGTTGAGTGGTTTTAGTGGATTTTTATATACATAATGGGGCCGGGCGTGGCTTAGTGATTAGCACACTGAGGCTGTACATCCAAAAGTTAATGGATCGTGGCCCATTACTTGTAAAAACGTGCTCCGCACATAGGAGCCGTGGACATTAATGTATAAAGAACATGGAAGGAGCAGGGGTTCATTGACAAAAAGGGCACTTTTCAAGCATTGTAAGGCAAACGTGTTTTTTTTTGGGGGGGGGTGTTAGAGGAGACTTAGGGGACTGTAGATTGTATCTGGTAAAAACCATAGAAAGAAACAGGTCCTCTTTTATTCAGATTCAGTTGGTCTTATGATCTAAAACTAAACACTAAATTATTATTTTTTACTATCAAGACAAACGGTAGTGTGTCATGCGGCCAAAACAACCTACTGCAGGACACAGTATGCTATTAACGGGAGTGATAGTTTAGCGATCTTCCACCTTCTGTATCTCGGACTGTGGTAATCCAAACTATCAAATATTTTCAGTGGATGTGCCCTACTAGAATGTTACTTCACTTACCAAATTTCAAGGCAATCCATTAAGAGATATCTGAGATAAAACATCTCCAATATAGATTGAGTTTCTTCATCTTCTTTCTTTTTCGCACCAAAAGTACGGAAACTTTATTTGATAGAAAAACTTACTTTTATGGAATTTTTTTTCAAATTTGGTACACTGATAGATCTTTACAACTTACAATTAGGAGTTTCATTTGGTGTAACTATAAGCCACGTGTGTAAAGTTATTCAACAAAAACCGCTCAAATTTGAAGAAACTTTTTTGCGCACGTCTACGTAAAAATGCATGTGAACTATCGGTCTAACATTCTATCTACAGTTAAAGTGGCCCGTATATTTTTTTTTTTTTGTCATTCGAATTAAACACGGTTGATTTAGAGCAGCAAAACTATAGAGCTAAAGCATGTGGAAATACATAAGTACTGGTTAGGCCGAGCAAACTAGATTGGCAGTTTCTTGCTCATGTTTTCAAAAGAATCATACGGTTGAACGGTTATGATTCATCGCCAACTTTTAAGCCCAAATTTGCAAAATTTTATTAAATTCTTCTAATTGAAGAGCGTTTACTGTCACGTGATATTAGCTTAAGCAATTAGCATAAATATTGAGGCTTGATACGACTGGACCGATTACATGGGGATGATGAAAAGAAACTGTTAATCTAGATTCCATAGCGTAACTACAAAGGAAGCTACTAACACTGTTTTAGAGAGGAAAACTACCACTGTATATTTTAAAGAATCTGGTTGATTCTGTAAAGTAAAGGTCTGTTCTGAATAATAGGGTTGCGATCATAAAGCTAATGTGGGTTACTATCGAGTGTCACTTTTTTACTTGCTATGGATTGTAAGTATGTATTGACAAAAAAATTATGATATCTAATCAAAAACAGCTTGGGTGTGAAAACCAGGTATGGCCAAAAAAGATTGGGTATGTGACTTATAGGAATGAAATCAAAATTGGTAGCCAAACTGGCAGCTACATTTATAGCATTGATAAAACTTTTACGGCAAATATTCCATTAGTTAGCTAGGCTGCTTATTTTGTTTTACCCACATTCGTTCCCCACGTTGCGTATAGCCTTTGGTATGAAAATTATGTAACAAAAATATATATATATACACATAACGTTTTATTGAAAACACCAACCAGCTTCCTGGTTAAAACTGAGGCTCATGAAAGTTCGAAACAATAACATTTTTATGTTAAATTAGCAGTAGCCATCATTATTGGATATTAATGTCACGTTTTATTTAAATGTGACCAGAACACCTAACGGGGGATATTTTAGGTACAGGGACGGCAGATAAGATAGGTGGAGGTGTGGGTTCTCAGGTAAAATTATTTTCCCCAAGAGTGACTAGGTAGGTTCCTCAAACTAACGGGAGATTCGATCAGAAGATATATTGCAAAGTAATTCCAAATTTTCCGAATCTGACCGAGTTCGAAAGAAAGATTTGAACACAGTGGAAAAATACAATCAAGCAGTGTGTTTTTCATTAAACAGAAAACAGCACCTATACTGGAGAGCACTCTCAAAGCCTGTGAGCTCTAACAAAATCTGCTTGGGTTAGGTATGAAGTTCTGTAGAAATCTGTTCCAGACTGATAAAACATAGCATTATATACACAATAACAGTGCTAAATTCTTTTAGGGCATTTGCACGACATGTGTGACTGTTGTTCATTCCCATTGAAACACGTGGGAGACATCACCCGACCCACCAGTTGAAAACGTCGCAGTCTGCTTTCACACGTAGTATGTACAACTTTGTAGAAAATTCTCCAAAGGAAGATAAATGTGATACATTAGATGAATGACACAGAACAGTAGGTAGTGGAGCAAAAGGAACTCGATAACTTTCTTAATCACTATGCTTTGTGAAAACTGCATAGACCTGAAAAAATAATCTATATTAAAACGAGAGAGCAGCAAACACTTCTCTATCTTAAAATTATTTTAAGGTCATACTTGATTTTAAATTTATAACCAAGTTTGCTTGAGTATTCGTCAAGATATAGGCTTGACTTCTTTCACCTCTGTAAAAACTTACGCAGATGACACAACTGTTTAACGAAGATTCAAGTCAATTTTAAAACAAGGTAGCAAAATGCAAGAATTAACAGTGATGGCACAGAAAAATACTCTTTTAAAATAGGTGATACTTACAATTATCATAGACAATAATTAAACTTTTTATCAACTATACAGAGTCATAATAAAGCACTGTAATTCTATATTATAAAGATATTCTTTACCAATGGTTCTAAGAAAGGGACACTATATATATATAATATACACAAGCACATACCTTGAATTTTAACCTTTCAATATTATGAAATAACAAATTACATATTCAACACGCAACAATTAAATTTTTAATGTGAAGTTCCAAAATGATCCTTTTTATATATAACAAAAAAGCCTAAAAACATGTCCTTCATAATGTTTACATAAAATCCCTTTACAGAATAATTATTTTCAACATAGAAATGAACCTTTAACAAAGATATTCAGAATCATTTTAATAAAACAAAAACATACCCATTTCAAAAGTACAAAATAAACCGTTTAATTATACATAAAATGACAACTGCTATGATAATGATAAGAAATACACAAAACTAGAAGATTAAAAGAAATACATCATTCATAATAATAGTAAGTATATTTGCACTTATGCAGAGAAATATAACCTTTTAAATGTTGAATAAAGTCAATTATAAATCAAAAACAAAATAATGCACAGATAAACATGGTTCAGGGCACAATCTCAAGAATACGTCCTCTAAAGTAGTGGTTCAATGGCCACGATAATGACTTATATAATTTCATGGGTCTTGGCCAGCCTGGATAGTGATGTCAAACATCTTCTGAGTTGGTTCTCACCCCTGTTGTACAGGGCTCAGCTGTTTTATTTATTGGCCATTTCCTGACAATGCCATATCCAAGATTTCTATCCGGTGTGGGTGGTCAGTATCTCTAGCATTGATTTCCATTGAAGTTGATCTCTGGACTTCTTGAAAAGTGGTGGCTCAACCACCATCCAAGTGGGGGCCCCTAATTTTACTTTGTTTACTGTTTCTGCAATTCTGCCAGCTATCAATGTAGGTACCCCTTCATTCATTAATGACACCCTTGCCACTGGTGATGATGTAGTTCTGGTAGCTGGCAAAGTCTTGGCAACTGACACAGAGTGCAGACATGTTCATGCCAGCAGGTTGAGGCCTTGACACCAGTCCACTGGTGCCCTTCCTGCACTTAGTTGGCTTTCAGGAAGATACTTCAACTCTGGGAGGGTTTTGTTTGGTTTAGGTATTTAGTGTTTTTGCTGAAGATGCAAGTACATCTGGTGCCAACAGAGTTTGGTAGTTGAGCATTCTAATGGGGCGCATCAGGAGCTGGATCTAGTGTTTAATAGGCAGCTCAGCCCACTTATGTTTCATAGGAATTGGCACTGATGTTGCTATCTGTAGCTGAGTCTTGTAGGCTTAACTCAACTGGCATGGCAGAGGTGGAAGGTGATTTTGCCACAATTGGTATATATTTGTTGCCACTTGCTTGAACAGTGGCCAATGGGGGCTATCCAGTCCTAGGACCCTTCAGCAGTAACCCGACTACATACTTGACAAGGCTCCTCCCATCTTATGCATTGGCCAGTGTCAAATCCTTATCCATAGATCTGCTGGGTCAAAAGTCAGATTGGGTCCAGGATCTGTGGGTTAGACGAAAAGTTCAGGTCTTTGCCAAACAAAAAGTCTTGTTCTTACTTTCTTTCCAAGGAAACTAATAAAGATATTTAGAGGTTTAAACAAGTACCAATAATGTACCACCAATAATTAAAGAATTCTTAGGAATTTTATCTTAAATAGCAAAAATAAGTATTCAAAATGTGAGGTCAGGTGAATTTTGATTAGTCAGAAGTTCAATTAGATGTACAAGTTATAAATGTCAGAAACATTGACATTTATAATCGGATGGTATTGCTGCAATTCCAGTTTATTTGCCTATTTTTCTTATGAAAGCAAATATTGAATGTTATGTATAGCTGGAAGTTTATGAGCCCTGTCATCTTCAAATCCTTGTTTATGATCTCTTTAACGATACCAGGAGGTGTGCCCAATTTCATCATAATGACTTTTTTTTAGTATGATGGTTCTCTTTTATAATGATGTCCAGCTGATGATCATTTTATTTTTGAGAGTAATTTGTGATAAGAAAATGGTGACTTATAATGTGTTGATGGCTTTAGAATGCCAAGTTTATGCATATAGTTGACCATAATCATGGCCACCACCTTTCATTCACAGAAAAACTAAATTTACTTACCTATCCAGTTATCATCATAAT